CCACCAGACTCACAGAGCGACCAACCAGAACCCACCAGACCCACAAAGCGTCCAACCAGAACCCACCAGACTCACAAAGCGTCCAACCAGAACCCACCAGATTCACAAAGCGACCAACCAGAACCCACCAGACTCACAAACTGTCTGACTGTATAAGCTGCTGACTGAAAACTGAGGATTTAAAGTGAAAACCCTCCAATTGTTTTGTTGTTTTTATTTTAAAGTCCTAAATTTACAGAAACTGACAGCTGATGGAGGTTCAGAAAATCTGCTCCAGGTCTTGGTTCAGGAACTGGGTCATGTTTGACTACAGAGTTTAAACTTTATTGAATAAATCTTTAAAACAGGACGGTTCTGGTCCTGGTCCTGGATCTGGATCAGAACCTCTTTTGTAAAATGTGAAGGATTCGAATTTAATGGTGTAAACTTGAAACTCAGTGCTCAGGTCCTGGTCCAGACCCAGGTTCTGGTCCTGGTTCTGGTCTGTGTGCTCTGTAAATGTCAGTGTAGGCGGAGCCTGGCTCTCACCTCCCCCCGGCGTCGTCCTGCTGACTCTGCTGTCTGAACATGGATCTTCTCGGACCGGCGCCCCCCCGGCCCTCCCCCGCCTGCTCCTTGCGGGGAGGCTGGTTCAGAGACATGAACTCGGGCCGGTTCAGAATGTTGTTGCGGTCTCTTGCCCGACACCGGGCCTGGCTGCCGGGCATGACGAACGGAGGCGAAGGTCCAGAGGCAGAGGACTGAGACGGACCGGGTCTGACACTCTGAGGAACTCTGCTATAAATACACCAGCTGGCCTTCTTCTGCTGTCAGCTGCTTTTTTTTTTTTTTTGGGGGGGGGGGGGCATTAAAGGGACAGTCCACCTGTTTTACTGCTGCAACCAGAACCGGTCCTGGCCAAAAGTATGTGAACAGTTCAGCTGCAGCTCATTCAGTCTGAAACAATGAAACATGTTAAACAGGGACCATGAGAAAGAACCGAAGTGACCCACAAACACCTAGAACTCATCTATGATCTGAGTTCTCCAGAACCTGCCAGTTCATTATGTCCCCTGAAGGCCACAGTTGGACTGGAGAGGAGCCTTGGATCCCAGAACCTCAACTAGAACAGGACATCTGCTGCTCAGAGGTCACCTGTCCACCTGCAGCAAATAAAACACATTTCAGTCCAACAGCAACAACAACAGATCACGTGACCTACTCAGCTCATGTGTAAGGCTTCATTCAGTCTCTTTAACCTCTGCAGTTTGTCTCAGTTCATACAGGATGTTATCGGCTCACATTCTGCTAAACTGGGCTGGACTCAATGCACGGACACATCTGCAGTGGTTCTGAGGAGTCAATGGACTAAATCCATCCAGATCCAGAACCCAAAGTTAAACCCTGAACAGCCCAGACAGACAGACAGGTCCTCAGCACCTGGTATTTGAAACAAGCATCTTCTTCATGAAAACCTCAGAACACGAAACAGCAGCAACGTTTCGTCCTCAGCGGAACCTTTGTTCCTCAGCTCTTTGTTCCTACCCGGACCGTTGTCAGACGCACCGTTGCTATTGGTTGCAGCAGCAGCTGCAGACGCTGGGCGGCTTGGAGCTAACGATACCAACAGTCGCAGAAGCGAGACGAAATGTGGTAAAACATCAGTTAACATTCTGAAGAGTTCATTTTTTCGGCGCAGTGACGTCAGAGCCGCGGGAAACTGCAGCCGTGTTTAGAGAGGAGCTAACGAAGCTAACTGTGCTAGCAGCAGGATTAGCTGTAAGCGGCGGTGTGGACTGTCAGCACTTTGACAGACTGTTAGCTGTTAGCCGTTAGCTCGTCTGGCTCCGGTAGTTTAGCGGCAGCTCAGGCCGTGAAGGAGGCTCTGCAGCGGGCTGAGGCATGACGAGGACGAGGAAGGTGTAGCTGCTGCTGCTGCTAAAGCTAAGCTAACGCTCCGAACGGTGAGTTCACTGCGCCTGCGTGTTTCCATCTGCTCATAACTTTATTTACACTCAACAGACAGATGGAGCTGGGTTCTCACCTGTGTTCCTCCATCTGGCTCTTCTTCAGGTGTTAGGACAGGATGTGGTCAGACCTGGACCTGAGCTGGACTGGACCGGGCCGGACCGAACCAAACTGGATGTGTTGGTCCTCATGCAGATACCTGAACCATGTCAGACTGTGACCTGGCTGCTGTAGAGGAACCTGCTCCTGGTCCCTCTGGTCCTGGTCGGCCACCCCTGGCAGAGAAGGCCCTGTCGGAGCCCTTCGGCCGGCTGCGGTTCCGGGACACGTCCCTGCTCATCTGGCAGCAGCAGCAGCAGGAGCTGCAGGTGGCGCCGCCCTCCACCTACCTGAGCCGCAGCCAGTCGGCCTGGTACAGCAGCTACGGGAACCCGGCGGTACTGGTCCGGGACAAGAGGGGCCTGGAGGACTCAGAGGGCCGGTCCAGGATCTGCAGTGTCATGTAGAACACAGGAGCCTGGAGCAGACCGGTCAGACGCTGGTTCTGTGTTCTGGACCAGATGGAGTCATTGAGAACAGTTTACTTTAGATTTTATTGAGTTTTGTAGATTTAGAATTTATTTCCTGGAAAGAACCATGTGGTCCGTTGGAGCCTGGAGATGAAGCTCAGTTGAACTTCAGGTTACTTTTCTGCTCTGCTTTGTTTCATTTTGAAAACCCTCAAACTGTCCAGTATTTGACAAATAAAAGCCTTAAGAGGCGGATTGTGCAGCCTGGTGTCTCTTCTGCTTCATGTTGCTCATGAATAAGATCAACCGAAGTGAAAGTGTTTGAACAGAGATCAGTTATTGGAGCGCCTGTTCAGTGACACAGCAGGAAGTCGTGCTGCCGTTTCTATTTAGTCCAGTGTTCCACCTGAAAGGTTCCCCGTCACTGTCAGGAGGGGACGCTGATGTGGAGCTCCAGAGGTGCCTGAGCCGGTCTGAAGGAAACCAGCCAGACTGAGCTTCCCAACAGGGACGATGAGGAGGAACTCTATTCACACTGACATGTATCTGAATGTTCCTCACGGTTCTGGTTCCTGCAGTGGAAAACGGCCCGCTCAGCTCTCTGGCTGGGTTTCAGGGTTCAGGTTGAATGAAAGTCGAGCCGCTGTGTCAGTTTACGTGTTTATTTATGAAAACAAATGAACTCAGAAAATAAGGATCCCATATCAGTAATTACATCAAATAATTCACTTGTTGGTTTTCGTCGGTTCGTCCTCTCTGCGTCTCTACTCTATCGAGCGGAGTTCCATCTAAACCTCAGACAGCTACTATACAGCTACTATACAGTGCTCAAACATACGGAAGAAAGAACGTACGGCCGGAGTGCATGCAAATACATAAAATCACTTTTTTCCTTTTTCTTATTAAAATACAAAAATTAACTATTAGCGTCAAAGCTCGACCATCAACTAAAAACAAACAGAGGAGGGTTACTGTGGCAACGAGCTGTCCGACTGTCCGTCTCATCGACTGTTCCAGGTTAAATATTCGTCTGGAAAATGTCACCCATAAAACCAAACTTTCGAGCCCGAGACGGCCGAGGAAGCTGCGACGAAAGATCCTGAAACCAACAGACTCCGTCAACAACGAGAAAGAAAACATTCAGACTGCTGAAGCTACGAAGCCGCCTGGAGGAACCTACAGGAACAGAGGAACGAGGAGACACGGAACCCATCGGTTCACTTTCACACTCAAGTTGATCCGAATCGATCGATCAGTCCTGATGCAAACAAATCAATAAGCTCATGATTTCCAATCACAATAAATCTAAGTCAACCGATCCCAGAGAAGGAGCTGACAGGAACCAGGAAGCCTGAGCATCACACTTCCTGCCTTCTTCACAACTCACCAGCCAATCAGAAGCTCTTGACCATGTTTATGACTCCACCCCCACAGCAGGAGGCGGAGTCTGAACTTCTGTCAGACCATCTGATGTTCAGACGGCTGACGGCATTTACAGCTGCAGACTCCGCCGACATCCCTCAGCGGGCCGAGTCCTTACTGGCCCGTTGTACTCTCCAGAATCTGAACATCACAAACCAGTCACACATCTGTGGTCCAGTTCAACAGAGCAGCAGCTGCAGAGCTCTCACACCTCGCTGGTCCGAGCTGTTGTGATGCCGCGGTTCATGAAGGCCACGCAGCTTCTAACTCCAGGAATCTGCGGCGCCACGTTCTGACCAGTTCACACTCATGAAGAACCCAGAACCAGGACCAAGTGGATCTGCTGAACGCAGTCGAAGACATCTGGAACCAAACTGATTAACAGTAGAAGTCTGAATGTTTCTGATCGAGCAGCTGATCCGGTCCGACGGTAAAACAGGAAGCTCTCACGACGTCACTTCCTGAACTACTGATGACATCATCACACCACCTTCTCTGACACACAGGTCAGCAGGTCACGTTATCCGAGTTGACCACTGAACAGTCTGGAACACGCCCGTCACTTCTGTCCCACGCGGCCGCCATCTGCAGTCGGTCCACGTCCCTATTGATTATCGATCGGCGCTGCTGCAGCCAATCACATCACACCTGATAAAACGTTAAAAAGCAGCGACGCCAAAACAACCGACGAAACCTTCAGCCGAACAGACGATGGAAGCTGCTCTGTGATCAGCGAGTCTCCTCGTGAAGGTTTGGTTTTATTCTGGGACACTTCAAAAATCATAAAAACACGAGTCGATGAATAAATATGAGCTGAGATGTTTGTCGTTTATCGGACAAACCTTCATCATTTCCTTCTGCTTTAAACGACAGAATCTGCTAAAATAAGAAGCTTTAAAAGAATCCGAGCCCGACCCGGTCGGCAGGCGTCCTTACAGTATGAGTGGTTGATTTGGCGAGGGGGCGGGGCTTCGAACAGGACAGCGGTACAAATACATCTTTATATAGAGAACCTTATAAGACACAAACAAGTTCAGCACACAACCTGAAAAATCAAAGAAAATAAAGTAAATGTAGTGTTAAAAAAAAAAGAAAGTGTGTGGCCGGTGTGTGACCCTGCAGGACCAGCAGGGGGCAGGCTTCAGAGGGTTCACAGAGCCGATCGATCAATAACCTCCCCACAACCAAACATCCCCGTGAGCAGAGAGACGATCCATCAGTTCTGAGTCCTGCTGCACATCTAAAGCCTCGTCTGTGATTATCAAACATTCAGTGATTCAGAAACATCGAGGTTTGAGGCTTCTGATGAATGTATGAAGACCTTTTGGTTCAATCGACAAACCGAGAAACTCACTGATAAAAGAAACCTTGAGCGAGAAAAGACGAGAAACACGTTTGTTCAGAGGATTCAGGGAGAATTAAACACATTAAACTTCAGATGTTTTCTGTTAATTAGATTATTTGTTGCAGGTTTTTAATGAAGATGTTCAAACACTCACTTGTTCCAGCTCCTTAAACATGAAGATTTGAGGCTTTGGGGTGAATATTTGGATCACATCTGAAGGAGATACAGGAATTTACAGAAGACCGTCTTCACAGTTTATTTCAGTCGACAAACTGAGAATCACTGAGAGATTAACGCAGGACTAAAAGAAGCTTCAGATGATTCAGGATCTGATTGGAGAACAGAACTCAGAAGTTAAACTGATTATCTTTGGTTTGGGATTGTTGGTTGGAGACTGAGTTATAAACAGCCACATGAACACCAGCGAGCCGACAGACGCGATCGGATCGATTGATAATGAAATGATCACCACTAAAACACAGATTGTTCCGGATCGTCTCTCTGCAGCCAAACGTTTTCAAACCAAACCGACACTATTGTCTCTATTCGTTTCCAATCGACCAGTATCCAGAAACCCCCTGAGGTCACCTGCCCTCGTCTCCCATGATGCTCCAGGAATGTGTTCAGAGGTCAGAGGTCACCGCCGGCCGCCACCAGAAGACGAGGACGCGGAAGAAGAAAGCCTCGATGCACGTGCTCGTCTCCGGAGATCAACCCGACTCCCAGACGGCGTTCCTGCCTCCCCCGCTCTTCTTCTTCTTCTCTTGCTGGGTCGTCGCTGCTTTCTTCTTCTACTCCTCCTCTTGTGTCTGTCTGCGTTCCTCCAGGAAAAACGAAACAACACTAGGAGCTAAAAAACGGTTCAGCCTATTTACATACAGTCTCCACGTCTGGGCGTGTGTGTCTGTGTGTGGTTATACGTGTGTGTGCCAACAAGTTCAGAGTGTGTACCTCTGTCTTCTGTGTGTGTGTTTGTCCAGGATGGAAGCTGATCAGTGTGTGAGTGTGTGTGTATAAACCTCTGTGTGTGTGTTCAGTAACGTGTGTGTTCAGTCTGTGTCGGAGGAAGAGGAGGTTCCTGTTGAGGAGCTGTCATCAGAGGAGGAAGAGGAGCTGCCACTCAAACGACTAGCCCCGCCTCCCGAGGCCCCGCCTCCCGCCGCCTTCTCTGTAGGAGGGAGAGAGGGGGAGGAGTTAGTGTGACCATGTGACCTGCTGGGAACACATCAGAGCTGCAAACACGATTAGTTTGTCGGCAATAAACCAGCTCCGAATACACAGAGAGGACATGTAACGAGGCTAACGAAGCCGATTACAGCACACGAAACCCTAACAATACCCTGTAGTACTGTGTAGTAGTACTGTGTAGTAGTACTGTGTAGTAGTACTGTGTAGTACTGTGTAGTAGTACTGTGTAGTTCTGTGTAGTAGTACTGTGTAGTTCTGTGTAGTAGTACTGTGTAGTACTGTCTAGTACTGTGTAGTAGTTTTGTGTAGTACTGTGTAGTACTACTGTGTAGTACTGTGTAGTTCTGTGTAGTACTGTGTAGTACTACTGTGTAGTACTGTGTAGTTCTGTGTAGTACTGTGTAGT